AAATGTTGATCTTTGGATCTTTCTATTCATCAAAGAATCCTGAAAGAAATTTACTCAACTGTTTTAAATATCGATGATACTAATAATAATAATAATCAGAAAGGTTTCTTGAACAGCATGTCAGCATATTATACTGATTTCTGAAGATCATGTGACACTGAAGACTGGAGGAATGATGCTGAAAATACAGCTGCGCATCACAGGAATACATTACACTTTAACAGATGTTCACATAGAAGAGAGTTATTTTAAATAGGAAAATATTTCACAATATTACTGCGTCTGCTGTATTTTGGAGCAGATGAGAATTCTATAAAAACATAAAAAATCTTGCTGTTCAAAAACTTTTGACTGGTAGTGTATACGGTATATAAATCTAAATGTACTCCCAATAAACCTGGAAATAAATTTAGTTTAAAGCTTCAAAGGGGGTGAGAAAATACATTTCCCATCTTAAATATTTTTGTTTTTCATACATCTCCTCATATTTGTGAGCTATATTGTATATGGCCACATGGGAGTGACCTTCTGCCTTTAAGCTGAAAGAATTGGTCACATCTGCCATTCACAAACTACACAACACGCCAGCTTTAAAGTGAAGGTTAACATTTAGAATCTTTATTCAAATCAAATCAAGTCACAGGAAAGAAATATATTGCGTGCAGTACTGTTCCAGCATATAGTTGAATGATTTGTATTGAACACACTTTAATCTAGACTACGTAATGCAATTACATTCTTACTAATCAAAAACATTATTTTAAGATGTGTGTTAAGGTCTGGGATTATGATACATATGGTATATATTTGACATTCTATTTTTTTTGTGTGTGCCTTTAATCTATTAGGACAGACAGGCAGGAATAGACAGCAAGAAAGTGAAGTGGTAGAGAGAGAGGGATGTGATCGGTAAAGGTCCTCGAGTCGGGACTTAAATGAGTTTATATGTATGTAGAGTATCAAGTAAACTCATTAAAAAAAAAAAGAATGGTTGAACAATTGTCAGCAACTTTATATACTTTGTAATAAGTTGTACTATGCTTGCTAACTATCCTAGAGAAGTACTTTAACAGATCACGACTATAATATTACAGCATACAGTGCTGTATATAAATGGTGTTGTCAGTCATCTGTAGCACCTCCTCTAAATAAGTGCCCAGCTGCACCCGTGGCTCTCCCCCGGTCATGGCGAGGAACCCCAGGGCCAGCTCGACTGTAGACAGTGCCTCACACACATCACTGTAGGACTGCAGCTCCTTCACGAGGTTGTGCTGTGTAAGAGCCTGCAGCGGCTCCTTTAAAAGCAAAAATCACAATATGGCTTGTGAAATTATACAAATATATCTATGCATTGTAAACACTGATTTAATTAAATATACTTTTTTTATGTTGCATATTAACTTAATGATTAAACATGAATTATGCTAACACAAATAATGCAACTTACTTGTGGCACTTTGCCCTTCACATCCATTAATATGATCTCATAAATTCTGTCCTGTCTGTTCACCACTGTCGGAATACCCTACACAAATAAATATCAATAATTAAGGGTTGTTGACGTGACATGGCTTTTTCACTGTCCCGCAAGATAAAAATGCATATAAATTTAAAATGCAGTAAATGGTTAAACATGTCTTTGTCCTACATGGACCCGTTGTTATAAAAGCTGCAGTGTTATTCGATTTTTGATTTTTATTTTGGAGCCAAATCTCAGAATTGTCCTATAGTGTGACTGTCTCAAGCATGGTTCAATAAATTACAACTTTTATAATTGTACAAGTGGCTATTTTAGTAAATGACAATCTGTTTTTTTTCATCCATATATTTCTGAAAGCATAGGAAATTGATACATTTTGTCTCTGAAAATCATGTCCTCTGGTGTGACACCATATCCGACCAATTCCAGAGAAAACTTTAATTAGTTGAAGGACCTCATTCATGATTATGTTACTGAAGCCCCCTGTGAAGCCCATGACATGTGCACAAGGTCAATTTTTGTCTCAGAATTGTTCAAATAGTTAACTTTTTTGGAACCACTACAAAAGTCTTACGTTTTGTTGTCCTTTGGAGTGACACCCCTAAATTATACCTTTATATTTTCTCAAAGATCAGACTTCACACTACATAAATGTATGCATTTCTTTTGCAAAAAAAATTTTCGCCATTTTTACTGCCTATTTCTCAACTACCCTTAAAAAAGTATTCTATAATCCTTTAAGAACTCCTAAAAACATCTGTTTTAACTCTGAACATGCATTTTCAACCCTTGTGGTGCTGTGACATACATTAAGGGTTATGAGAGGTTTGCCCTGTAGAAAGCGGGTGAAGATCTGTTGCTGAATATTGGGCAGGTCGTACTCCATCAGTGTTTCCTGTCCGCACTCCATGCTGTACTGGCAGTTGGACAGTATCAGTGGAAGCAAGTCCCGCTCATACTCATAATGGATCACATGCATCTCCGTCAGGTCAGCTGGGCTTACCGTGTAACTGACGGAAACAGGACAGAGAAAAATAACATATAGAAAAATACAGAGGTGAACAATAACTAAGTACTGTTGTTACTGTACTAAAGTTAATTTTTCAAGTATCTGTACTTTAATTTTTCTTGAAAAATTGTAATGGTAAAATTTTACAAGAAAGTTCACCAGTTAACAATAGTTATCTACATTAGTTAACATGAACTAAGAATGAGCAATACTTGTACAGCATTTATTAATCTTAGTTAATATTAATTTTGCTCTATGAACTACCATAAACAAACAATGAACAATTGTATTTTTATTAACATTAACAAACATTGTTCGTTCATGCTAGTTAATACATTAACTAATGTTAACAAATGACACTTTGCATTTACATTTATTCATTTTGCAAACGCTTTTATCCAAAGTGACTTACAACTGGGGAATACATCAAAGCGATTCATCTTTTTTTTTTTTTTTACATTTAGGATTCATTCAAGTAGTGTCAAAAGAGATGAGTTTTCAGCTGTCGCTTGGAAATGGTCAGGGATTCAGCATCCCGGATAGGGGTGGGAAGATCATTCCACCAGCCAGGAACGGTGAACGAGAATGTTCTGGAAAGTGATTTTGAGCCTCTCTGTGATGGTACCACGAGGTGTCGCTCACTAGCGGATCTCAGACTTCTGGAGGGGATGTAGATTCGTAGTAGTGAGTGGAAGTAGGCGGGTGCTGAGCCTGTGGCTTTTCTATATGCAAGCATCAATGTCTTGAACTTGAATTGCGAGTGAATTTTGCATGGCAAGCCACTCCCCTGTCCCTACAGGTATATAAGATGGTGGCTGCAACTATTCATTTAGGTTTACACTGAGTAGCCAAGAAGCATCCCGGCATTCAGTGCATGGACCAGTGTTGTGATAATGGGACATACGTCTCCGTTCCCTCCATCAGGAAACGAGGGTTACATACATAACCTAGTCATTCCCTTTCTGTCAGTCACTTCAATGTATGTTGTGATGACATAAGGGATCCCTATGGAAAGGGCCACAGCACTGAACTAGTTATGACAATTTGGTGATGCATATTGTTGACAGGACCTGCGTGTCATACAAATGTTACCACTACATCATAACCTACCCAATGTCCTACTGGGAGCATATAATCTTTTTGTACCTTACTAGAGATTGAATGGACAAGCTACACCAGTAGGAAGGTAGAAACTGCCATTCCTGTTGCTTTGAGAGTATCTATGTGTTCTCGCTCTCTTTTCAAAAATAGCTTCCAATTACATTACATTGGGGAATGAGCCTTAAAGAAGGTCGCTACAGAGACGACATCCTGCCCTAAGGGAGATAATGTGGTAATACCCATAGGGACTGTTCCTACATACAGAACAGTGTTTACATGAAAGAATGTCTGTGGTAGGTCTTACCTATTCTAGGGATGGACTGCTACAGCGACTGGACAGTCTTTACCAGCAGACGTGTTCGATCCGCCATCTTACTGTTCCCTACCGGGAGAGAGCACCATTGAGTCACAGGGGCTGACTGGGCCCAGGTATGCTAACACAAGTGCTGGGGCTAGCGTCTGAGTCCTCCGCCAAGTCTGACTGCTAAGAAGATGCCAGAAGAACTTACTGGAGAGCTAAAAAGTCACTTGCATCCCCTGGTGAGGGGGAATGGCATAGCAAGCGAGGAGGGGCACGGCTCACCTTGCCATTGGTACGCCAAGGCGATGGCGTCCACTATCCAGTGAGCCAACCTCTGCTTGGAGACAGCCTCCCCCTTCTGCTGTCCTCCAAAGCAGACAAAGAGCTGCTCGGAGATTCTGAAGCACTGGGTGCGGTCCATATAAATGCACAGAGCACGGGAGGGACACAGCGATGCTAAAGCTGGGTCTGCCTCCTCTGGTGTCAGTGCTGGCAAGTTCACCACCTGGTTCCGAAAGGGAGTGGTGGGAACCTTGGGCACATACCCAGGCCGGGGGGGCCTCAGGATAATGTGACAGTCGAAATTGTTCTAGACCCGTTCCATTGACCAAAAACACTTGCAGGTCCACCCTCTTAATGGAAGTTAGCATGGTTAGGAGAGCTGTCTTAAGATACAGGATCTTGAGCTTGACTGACTCGAGTGACACAAAGGGGTCCTCTGCAGTCCAGTGAGGGACGGCCTCTGCTCCAAGACTTCTTGCAGGAAGGAAAGCCCAATGCCGATTTGGCGTCTTTGGGGGTCTTTTCTAGGAGAAAAACACCACTCAGTGAACAGAATCAACCTCAGAGTGTAGGCCTGCCCCATAGAGGGGGCTCTAGCTTGGGTGATAGTAGCGACGACGGATGGAGGAAGGCCACTGAAGTCCTCGACGTCCCATCCAGGATCCACATGTGGAGGTCCCATTAATCTGGATATGGGTACCATATGGTGCCCCGTCCCTAAGAAAGGAGGTCCTTCCTCAGGGGAATCTGCCAAGGAAGAGCTATCGCGAGGAGCATTAGATCTGCAAACCAGGTCAGAGTGGGCCAGTACGGTACAATCAACAAAGCCTGTTCCTTGTCCTCCCTGAATTTGTACACTGAATTTGTATCTGTGCAAGCAGGCTCACTGTGAGAAGTGCATATTTGCGCAGAACCCATGGCCAGCTGTGTACCAGTTCATCCGTACCTAGGTCAGGGAGTAAAACAACTGGCAGGATTCGTGGGAAGCGGAAAGGTCTATCTGGGTCTAGCTGGACCGTCTGGGGATGGAGTCTCTATTCTCCAAGGAGCGTGGGCTGTTGTAAAAGCGCATTGACTGCACGATTGAGATCTCCTGGGATGTGAACGGCCTGCAGCAATTTGAGTCATGTCTGACTCCAATGGAGGAGATGGCAGGCGATCTGAGACAAGCTACGGGAGCGTACTCCACCTTGGCGAAACTGGTGGAGGGCTAGAAGCACCGCCAGCAACTCCAGGAAATTGATGTGCCAATGCAGGCAAGGTTCTGTCCAGGACCCCAAGGCTGCATGCCCATTGCATACAGCACCCCAGCCCATATTGGAAGCATCTGTAGTGACAACAACATGCCTGGACACTTGTTCTAAGGGCACACCGGCCCATAGAAAGGCAAAATCCGACCAAGGGCTGAAGGAACATTGCTGCGTGATGGTCACCCAGTATGAGCCGCAGTGCCATGACCATCGCATTGCCAATGCTGAAGTGGTTTCATATGAAGCAATTCGAGTGGGGTGACCGTGGCTGAAGATGCCATATGCCCCATGAGCCTCTGAAATAATTTCAGTGGAACTGCAGTTTTTCCCCCTGAATGAGTTCAGGCCACTGATCTATATATAATGACTGGATTGCTCATTACGTTCTAAATGGAAGTGTGTAACAAATTTAGCTAATCTTACTTTAAGTCTTATTGTCACCAAAGAGTTCTTTTTGGGGTAATCTTGTTTTAAACAGCTTACCAACCATCAATTCAATAAAGCATGTGCAAAACATAAGACTCTCAATGATCAATGCATGTATTACTAGACATATAAACTTCAAGCTAATTTTTTCAACCCCACAGCACAATGAACAGCACATTGAAAGGTAAATAAGTAAACTGAGTCCAAAAGGCAAGTGCTAATATCAGTCCACGAGTACTATAAAGGCACAGATTTCCATACCATCAATCAGAGTCCACAACAAAGAAACAGTCCAATCAATCAAAAAGATATAGGGCCAAGGTTTTCACACTGACAGCTGTCATTGTAAGACAGTTAGCAACTCAGTTTGTTTGTCCGAGTTTGCAACAGTAACTAAGGGGGGCGGGGCTTATCGATAGGTCAATTGGGAGAGGTGCTGGAGCACCTGGTCCCAGGACTGCATAACTGCTCTCGAGACTGTGCTAGGATCAGCCAGTTGTCGAGATAGCTGAGGATCCTGATGCCCACTTCCCATAATGGGGCAAGGGCACCCTCCGTGACTTTGGTAAAGACACGGGGAGACAGGGACAGCCCAAAGGGGAGGACCTTGTACTGGTACGCCTGACGTCCTTCAGGCCGATGGCTGCAAACCAATCCTGCAGACGAATGTACTTGAGAATGCGTTTCTGCATCAACATCTTGAACGGGAACCTGTGCAAGAAACTGTTCAAGACTTGCAAATTCAGGATTGGTCATAGCTTGAGAAGCTCTTGGATGCCGGAGGAGAACGTCGAGTCTGAGAGTGAGGAAACCGAGCGTCGCTCACTGTCAGGCTCTGACACAGATGACCCAAAGGGAGAGGAAACTGCTTTTTTGTGAGTGGTTGGGCAGAATGAAATTCACTCTTTTGCGAGACACTCAGCCTTCCATCAGAGGCAGAGATATTGCTTGATATTGTTCGCCTCCTGAAGAGCGGCTCTCCTCAACTCTGGGTTGCCATCTCAGAGCCGCTTCCTCATCTTATGAGAAGACTTACGGGCCAGATACCCTAATAATACCCTGGCCTTGGCAGCCAGGGCTGATGAGAACTTACATGCCTTGGACAGGATTTGTGACCAGCTGTGGTCAGGTGGCAGAGTTCTGCGGGCACAAGCTCCACTGGAGGAATGTTCATTCCGGCTGAGCTACCGCTCCTGAGGAAGGCAGCTCATCGGAATCAGATGACAGCCCACCCTCTTATGCTGTGATAGACGTCTGGTCCTCAGGGGAGCCCCTAATGACATGCTGGGCTCACCTCAGGATAGACCAGCGATATCACTCGGAAGTTTGACCAGAACATGAGTTGATAAGGAGTGGGAGGTCTGTGGGGACTGGCCCAGTGAATTAACTCCCACTGTAACCCTCAGATTTCCCTGAGTGCTAAACGATGCCTCCTTCTGCTATGCAGAGGGGCGAGCACGGGTAGCAGCTAAGGGGGTACTCCTAAGATAGGAGCGCCGCAACCACAACTCAGTCAGAGGAATGCGCTGTGAACGCATAACCCCCCATAAGCACTGATCCAATGTGGTCTAAGCCTATACATGAAAATCAGTGATAATGGCCATCATGAAGGTCCAGGAAACTACTGCACCCGGAGATACACAGATAAACAGACATCTGTAAAAAGATGCTGCACAACTGTGCCTGATCTTTTAGGAAAGTCCGCTCTTTTAGCTAGCATGCCCAGGGGGAACTTGCAGCACTTAATTTTTTCTTAACGAAAATCTGAATGAGTGGTTGCAGCCAATATCTTACATACCCGTAAGCACGGGGGAGTGGCTTGGCATGCAAAATCCACTTGCCAATGTTCATTGGCTCTTTCTCTTACTCATTGAGGTGATTAGGATCCCAAGGGAATCTCCATACACCATCACAACATCCGTTGAAGTGACATACAGAAATGGAACTAGTATGTTTGCATAGCATTGATCTTAAAATACTAACACATTGAGCCCAACATGACTTCTTTTTTATATTGTATACTTATATTTAACATAATTTTAGGAACAATATTTAGTTTTTCTCAACTCTATGTACTATATGATATATTTTGTTATTTTTACTTGTTTGCACACTTGAATTACCAGAAATTATCAGTAGCAGTTATCAGTGTATGGCAAGTTTTGGTAATAAAAATCTTCTCCTTACTTCAATACATATGAAGTTGCTGCATAATCCTCCATATTGACTAGTGCTGGCTGCTTGACAATTCATAATAATTAATAACGATATCAGACTGAGCTGTTGCCTATTTACAAGCAGTAATCAATCACTACTTTTTACTTTTAATACTTAAGTATATTAAAATATCAAGTACTTTTGTACTTTTACCCAAGTAAAATAGAAAGGGAGTCCTTAATACTTTTACTGGAGTAATATTTTATTAGGGTATCTGTACTTTTACTCAATTACTTGATTTGTGTACTTTGTCCACCACTCGAAAAATAAGGTTAACAGGGAAATATGGCAGAAAAGTTGCTAGCTTTAACCACCAGGTCACAGCTCTGACAGGACAATGTTTCAGTGTGAGTTATTAGTGTGTCGATGTGTAATTATCAAGGTATTCTGGATGGTTGTTTTCTGGCTCAAATCGAAGGAACCCTCTACTAAGTCATTTACAAATGACTCAGAATCCTTTTTAAATGTAACTCTATGGGTGTTTTTTTTCTCATCTTTTATCACTGGACATTCTATCAGCAAGCCACATGATTTGATATCTCTCATATCCACTGTGTCACTGTGAGTCATAATGATTCATACTTATGGTGTGTTCACACCAGACGCAAAGCGAATATGCGCATCGCGTCACTCGCTCTAGATTACTTGCGGGATGTTTTTCGTGTCACTCGCGCGAATAAAAACAGCGAGATCAACCATGGTGGAGATAACTACAATCGCTGTTTTGTACCTGTTGTCAAAAAGTCCCAAATACAATGGAAAGCCAAACGCCGACGTGTCTGGGTTCACAGCACCATCCAGAGGAGGATGAATAACGTTAGGATCCTGCATTAATGTGTGTTACATTTTACTACTCTGTATATACACTGATATTACTATTATTTTTATTATTGATAGCAGCATCTCTGTAGCCATGCTAATAAAATACAGCTACTACTACAACTGATTTTAATTGTTTTCTATGCTCCAGACCTATATAATAACAGATGGCTGCAATAATGCTCTCTTCGCTCATTGGCTTGCGCGAGAACGCTTCAGGCGAATTTTCTGCTCTAGTTGAAATTTTTGAACTTGCGCGAAAGACGTGATTGAGGCCAATATCTCGCATTTCACGTCATTCGTGTCGCCTGGCGCGAATTCGCCTCTATTCGCGTCTTTGCATTGACTTTGTACGTAATCTACTTGCGCAAATAATTAAATTTGCATTTGGTGTGAACACACTGTTAGGGTTAAGGCTTTGCTCAACACAATAGCCCTAAATGAGCAATGATTCCTATATAAAACACAACAAATGACATAAGACATCTGAACTCCTTACCCAGACTCCTCTCCGGTGTGTTTTTCCATGGTGTACACAAGGTCATTATGAAGGGCGATGAGGTAGCTGACAAGGGCAGTGGAGCACAGGCCCAGACCACGTCTCTGTGGCAGCAGCACCTGCAGGTCAGCGTCCAGACTCAGATCCTTCTGAGTGTATTCAGCCGGCAGCTTTATCTCTCCTAACAGAAAAATATTAATTCATCAACAGAAAACAATAAACATTGTTCATCTGCCGAAGAAACGATTTAACAGTGGTCAAAAAAAAGGGTTAGTATGTAGGGTAGGGGTGCCCAAACTCGGTCCTGAAGGGCCGATGTCCAGCAGAGTTTAGCTCCAACTTGCCTCAACACA